TGTTGCTGCTGATCTGTTTCATGTTGCTGCTGATCTGTTTCATGTTGATGTGTTCATGCATGCTCATCTGCTCACAGACTCATGCTCATGTTCGTGCTGCTGTTTGGTGTATTGTTTTTATACTATTAGTGTGTAGTGTATATTTAGTTAACATTTTTCTTACTTCATATCTTGGATTACTACTGTTTTTCTTTTACATTTTATATGTTTTGTTGGGGGCAGCACGGTGGCACAACTGGTAGAGCTGCTGCCTCTCAGTGAGCAGGTCCCTGGTTCAAACCCCGGTCCAGGGGCCTTTCTGGGTGGAGTTTGCATGTTCTCTCCGTGCATGTGTGGGTTTTCTCCGGGTGCTCCGGTTTCCTCCCACAGACCAAAAACATGCATGTTAGGCTGATTGGTAACTCTAAATTGTCCCTAGGTGAGAGTGAATGGTTGTTTGTCTCATTTGTCTCTATGTGTCCCTGTGATGGACTTGCGACCCGTCCAGGGTGTCCCCCGCCCCTCGCACAGAGATTGCTGGACATGGGCACCAGCGACCCCCGTGACCCAAAATGGAATAAGCGGGTAAAGATAATGGATGGATGGATGGATGGATGGATGGATGGATGTTTTGTTGGATGTAACTGGGACCCTGTGTACATAATTTTGTTCCACCACATGTACCACATGGGGTGCGAATGACAATAAAGAACCTTGAATCTAAAAAGGCTCCTCGTCAACACTAACAATGTTCTGTGTTCTGGATCAGTCTGGGGACTCGCTGCCTGAACCTCCTGGGCTTCCAGCAGTTCATGGACGACAGCGAAATGACCTCTGACCTGATCGACGAGGGGAAGGAGCTGATTCGGCGCGGTGAGACTTCAATAATGATGGCCATTACAGAACAGGACAGGATCAGCTGAAAATATTCAGTCAGTCGTGTTTTCTTTACAACAGAGAGGAGGAAACGCCAGAGGATTGAAGATGGAGAGAACAGACGCAGGGTGAGTCTGAATTTCTTCAAAACTTTTGACACTGACTGACTCACCTGCACCTGTCTGCCCAGGTGACACTGATGGCCATTAACCATCAGATGTATGGCACATGATGAATTTATCTGAGCTTGATGAAGCCTCTAAGTGTGTTTCCATGGTAACAGCTCACCTGTTCTCAATTTGTTTCCATGGAAACAATTCACCTGTGTGTGTTTCAGGAGTGGAAAGAGCGTTACGGAAACCAGAGAGACGACTTTGCCACCAGGAACCGGAGCAGCCATGAGATGAAGGAGACAAACTACTCCGAGTCCAGCAGGGACAGACGTGAGTCAGAAAGTCTTTATCTCACACATGGGATCACCTGGGATCATGTGTTTGAACAGAACATTGCCTGCTTCTGATCAACAGAAGCTAAATATTCTCACTCTGGGAGCCGAGCAGAGAGGGACTGCATCGAGCTGCTGCAGGACGCCGAACCTCTGGACTTCAACGCCGACTCTCTGACAGACAACCCTCTGGAGACTGAGTCCGGCAGGTAAACAGGAAATGCATCAGACACAAGTATTTCTGTAAATATGTTCAGGGCTGGCATGTCACACGAGGAAGTCTTTGTTTCTGTGCAGCTTCAGGAATTTGGGGACTTCTCTGTTATTTGTTTGTTTTGTATTTTCAGGCCCACAGCAGGACGGTATCTGTCTATGTCGTCGTCTCGAAACCGAATATTTGACGACGTCTAACATCATTTTCTTCAGCTCCTCCTGCTGAGATGTGATGCAGCAATGAACTCCACCTCTCAGCTGTTTCCTCCCAGCATGCATGCTAAAACCTGCCAGCTTGGCTGCGTCTGAACCTCTGTCTCCCAACACTTTGATCAGACCTCGCCTCCAGCTCGGCTGCTGGTCAGTGACAGCTCTTCGAAGGACTATTTCTGCTGTCTCTGTTGTTTAAAGCCTTCAGTCTGAATGATGAAGCTGGACTCATTGCTGAGCAACTGTCTCTGAGCATGCTCATGAACGCACGTCATGCTAATCGGAGCATTAATGAAGGTCACTAGGTGTTATTTATATTTATAATTTCTCCTCCATGTTGAAGATTTATTTAACTGATGAATCACACTGAAAATTAATTTGCACTTGATCTGAAATGCCTGAACTATTAATTCATGATGATGGTGTGAAACCGGTCGGCCCTGAAGCTCTACATAACCTGACCCGCAACTCTTTGTGCACGTTACATTTATAAGCCCCCATTTGTGTTGATGTGTAGAAACTAAACTTGTATTTCTGTTTGTTTGATCAGATTTAGTTTACAGCACAGGATAAAGTTTTCTAACCAGCTGTTTTCATCTGTCAGCCAATTTAAATCCTTAGACATAATAAGTTTATACTTCATGTTGTTAATCCAGTTTTAACTCAAGTAATTTTAGTTTTTATTAGTTTAGTTCATTTGAGTTTAACCTGAAACACCAAGAGGACCGAGTACACATCCCAGAGGAACTCCACAGAGGTCTCATCCTGCGTTGAACCTTCTGATTGCAGCTTCATGAAAACAAGGAGCTGCTGGAAGTGTAGAAAACATGAACAGATCCTTAAAATCTGTTGAACATGTCAGTTCAGATGCTTCATGACAGAAACCCAACCATTGAAGATGGACGATGCAGCCGGTTTACCACCTTCATTTGCCTCTCCCTCCTCTGCACATACAGTACATGTAAATGTTTTTGTATTCTACGAAGTAATGGTTTGTATTGAACAGTTTTGTTTGTGTGTCATCATGCTGGTGACTGTTGAAGAACTCAATGATTTCTGTTCTGAATATTGATCATCTTTGTGTTGTGGAAACAGTTTCCTCTGCAGACAGTGTTGTGCCAGAAAATAAAACTTGATCTCAGTGGAACAAACGGAGTTCTTCTGGTTTTTAGTTCCAGTTTGACTGTAAATTTTGGGCAGAGCAGATTTGGTGTCCTGGTTGATGGTAAACTTTTCTCCATGTTTTCCTTTGACCTGTTTTAACCATCCGTGAGACGAAGCTGCAATCTGCTCACGTTTCATTAACAAACTCAAAGTTCTGCTGTCTGGGTCCACGTGCGCACACACACACGGTATGTACACTCGTTCCTAACAAGATGACTTTAGTTTTTTAAATCTGAAATCGTATTTTGTTTGACAGCAGAAACTTATCCACATTTTCTCACATAGTTTACATGAAGGTACTGTAGATTTAATCTTGTTCATCAATATTAATGTAATATTACTGTATAAACATATACAGTACAAGATGCATCATGGGTATTTTTACTGCCTGCTGTAAAACAAACCATGAAAACCGCAGACCTCCATATACTGAGACGAGCTGTTGTCAATTTAGCTTCTATTAAATCGAGCAGGAAGAAGGATGGAGTTCATTGTTGAAAGATTATTTTAAAGGTGTTTGTGATGGAGCAGTTGTCCACCTCTGAACTGAGACTTTCCTAGTAGTCCGTTTGAATATTCTTGGTCAAACTGATCTTTTATTAACATGGTGCTAATGTCAGTTAGGACAAAGCTATGACTGACAGATGTGTAGCTAGCACATCTTAGCTCTCGGTTCCTCCTGAGTTTAAGCCGGGCTGTCAAGTTGTCTCGGGATACTGTACAAAAATATCCATCCATTATCTTTTAATCGCTTCTTCCTTTTTGGGTTGCGGGGGTCACTGGTGCCCATATCCAGCCATCACTGTGCGAGAGGCGGGGGACACCCTGGACCGGTCTCCAGTCCATCACAGGGACACAGACACAAACAACCATCCATTCTGTCACTCACACCTAGGAACACTTTAGAGTTACCAGTCAGCCTAACATGTTTTTGGTTTGTGGGAGGAAACAAGAGTAGCCGGGGAAAATCAACACAGTACGGAAAGAACAAACTCCACCCAGAAAGGCCCCCGGCTGGGATGTGAACCAGGGCGACCTGCTTGCTGAGAGGCAGCAGCTCTACCAACTGATCCACCATGCTGCCCTATATTCACATACATAAAAAGACAATTGGTAAAAGTTCTCTATGGAAACCAGCACATCGTGTTGGACCTTTATTTTGTCGCAGTCTCCCATACTGAGCAAGCACAAAGGCAACAGGGGAAAGGAAAAACTCCCTTATAACAAGAAGAAATCTCCAGCAGAGCCAGGCTCAGGACGAGCAGCCATCTGCTTGGACCGACTGGGTTTGAGAGGACAGAAAGAAGGAACAGGATGGCAGGTGTACCCTCTACTGGAAGAAAGACAAAAAACACACAAAACAGGTTGAGCAGAGTAAGTAGCAGCAGCAGAGTCAAGAAATGTGGTCAGTTTGACCTCCAGTAGTATAAACCTATAGCAACAGAACTAAGGGACAGCTCAGGAATCTTAAACCAACCCTAACTATAGGATTTATAAAAAAGGAAAGTCTTAATCCCAGTCTTCAAACTGGACAATGTGTCAACCTCATGGACAGAAACTGGAAGTTGGTTCCACAAGAGAGGAGCCTGAGAACTGAAGGATCTGCCTCCCATTCTGTTTTGGGAAACTCTAGGAACCACAAGTAAACCTGTAGTCTGAGAGTAAAGTGCTCTGTTAGGGAAATATGGACCAATAAAATCTGTACTATAAGATGGAGCCAGGATGTTGAGCACTTTGTAGATCAGAAGTAAGATTTTGAATTCTATTCAGGATTTGACAGGGAGCCAATGGAGAGAAGCTAAAACTGGAGAAATATGATCTCTCCTACCAACTCTCGTTAAAACTGCCAGCTGCATCTTGGACCATAGGAAGACGTTTTAAAGAAGTATTTGGACACTCAGATAATAAAGCATTGCAATAGTCCAGTCTAGACGTGACAAATGCATGGAGCAGTTTTTCTGCATAATATTTGCACAAAATGTTTCTAATCTTAGTGATATTACGCAGGTGGAAGAAAGCAGTTCTGGTAACATTTTTAATGTGGGAGTTAAAAGACATGTCCTGATCAAAAATAACACAAAGATTTTTAACTTTAGAGCTGGAGGACAGATTAATGCCATCCAGAGAAAATGAAAGACTGAAAATGTTATTCCTAAATTGCTCAGGTGCAAAAAACACAACCTCTGTCTTGTCTGAGTTTAAAAGCAGAAAATTAAGGGTCATCCAAGTTTTTATGTATTAAAGACGTAATTGTAGTCTAAGTCGCTGATTGGATTCATTGCATTTCATGGACAAATATAACTGAGTATCATGAGCGTAACAATGAAAATTTATCCCATGCTGTTCATGTTCAGGCTGCTGCTTAATATACCTTATTATTTTGCACTATTAGTGTTTAGCGTATATCTTAGATCCTTGTATACTGTTTCTTTTTATACACTAAAGTTCATGTTCAATAATCCAAGTAAAAACCCAACAAAGTTCAGTAAGGTCATCTGGATGTTTTTTTTTTTTTTTGCTGAGACGTTTCATCCTTCAACCAAAAAACTTCTTCAATCTGAGGAGCCACCAAACAAACTGATTCCCATAATGTAAGAGTTCCACTGCCTGCAGCTCCTCCTCCTAGATGGCCACCAATTACCACCAGCTGTCAGCCATCCACCTGATGAGGCTCCACTACTATTTAAGGCCAGTGTGAGCATTGTACCCTTTTTTTTGGTATTTATGCTTTTGGCCTGTATATTTTATGGCCCACGAGTTGTACTTACCTTGTTCCTTATGCCCACAGTCATCCTGCTTCCTTGGATCCCGTCCAGTCCTGTCCCTGCCTCCTGTGCCTTGCCTTCCAGTCACTCACCTGTTCAACCTGTCTTGCCTGTCCTGCTTGGTTTCTCATCTCTGGAGCTCCTGATGGATTAAACCTGCACCTAGCATCTGCACCACCACCTGTAAGAGAAAAGACAAACAAATTACCACCTGTGCTTTGCCTGGCAAGTGGACATCACTGACCCAGTTCTCTTTCCAGGATCACCAAGAGATGATCTGTACAAATTATCACTGTAAATAATAAACACTGTTACTTTTTCTATCCGAGTCTTGTCCTGCTCTGGTCTTGTACCACTCTGGCTTCCCAGCGTTCTGACAGAAATGCTCCAGCCACACAAGACCCAGAATGAGACCAGAGGTGAGCAAGGTCCCTCACAGATGGAACACATCAATAAACTTGAGGAGATGCTCCGACAAGTATTAACTCAAAAACAAGAGGCACAAACAAACATGAGAGAACTTGGAGATATGCTTTTTTCACTTAATCAATGACTTTCACCTTCTTCTCCTCCTCCAGCACCAACAGCACCTCCCGAGCCCAGTTCCTCCAAAACGGAACCCGGAGGCACTGCCACTACCCAACAGGTAATCACTAAACCTTCAGAATATTCCTCCGGAGACCCTAATCTATGTGGAAGTTTCCTATTACTGTACAAATTAAGCTCGTATTCAAGGGAGCATCTCAGCTATATGCTACAGACATTGCAAAAATCACTTAATTCACCAACCAACTAAAAGGTGACGCACTTCGGTGGGCTAACTCTTTTTTACAGTTTCATGACTTGGATTGTGTGTCGTTTGATACCTTGTTAAAGGAGTTTCGCCGAATCTTCGACCGCCCTTTGCAGAAACCCAACACCGTAAAGCGACTACCATATTTTACACCCTATAAGTCTCACTGGAGTATAAATTGCATATGTCCAAATATGTCTAATAATTTGGAAAAATCCATAAATTTGTCGCTTTGCTGTATAAATAGCACATATTATGCGTCACCGCTGACGCGTCATATTTGTTGCGTTTCACTGCTGACAACCTGGAAATGTAGGCCGGTGCTGTCCCTAAAATCGCTTTGTTGCTAAAATGATAGCCACTTGGGAGGACTTTCACCAGATTAATACTTATAATAAATTATTTGTTTGCTCAACATTATAGCAAAGATGTGTCTCAGTTGAACTATTCCTTAAAAATGCACATTAATGGTCAAATCAGCTGAACTGCAAAAATAGTTTTGCTGCTCTGGTGCTGCAAAGCGGGCACGCGCAGCACAACCGGCTGCTGCATTTCTTTTAAATTTAACAAGATAACCACCTGAAAAAAATATTTGTTTGCTCGGCTTTATAGTAAAGGTGTGTCTCAGTTGAACTATTCCTTAAAAAAATGCACTTTAATGGTCAAAACATGGTAAAAAGAAGCTTGCGAAATGAAGCTGGCAAAATAAAACTGGCGAAATGAAGCGGCTTTAACATTACAGGCCCACCCAGCCATAAATAATAACAAAAACACCAGTTTATTTTATTTGTTTTATTTGTTGTTTCTTTTTTCATTCGAATCCTTCGAATTCTTGGTCCTTGGTGTCACTGGCAAAGAGTTCTGCCAACTCCTGAGGGAGATGAAGCGGTGCCTCATCCTCCTCTTCATCCCCGGGGCTGTCAGAGTCCTCCTCCGCATCAGCTCCAGCTGATATTCCAGCCTTCCTGAACCCCAACTGGATTGTCTCTTTGCTCACTGAGGTCCACATGTTGTCATTCCAGCCGAGGACCTGTTAGAATGTGGCGTGGCGCATCCGTCCGGTGGTGGTGAAGCTGTGGTCTACGCTCACCATCCACTCCTCCCACAGGCAACGCAGGGCAGCTTTAAAGCTCTGTTTAATGGAAATGTCGAAAGGCTGGAGGATTTTTGTTAATCCTCCAAGGATAATGGCAGGTAAGGAGTTGCAGGTATTTATTTTCTC